TCTGCACTTAAGCTCTTGCCTGTAAGAGCTAGCCCCCCAGCCATGTTGGTGCTGAATGGCTGTGGCCATCCGCCATCCACGGAGAGGGCCGGTCTGGCGATATGTCTCACCTGTTTGGCCCGTGAGCGAAGGGACTTTGAGTAGAAGAGTCGAGGCAATACGTTCCAAGCGCCTTATAGATGGGGTTTAGAACGGCGGTATCTACTCCCTACCGAGTGCAACAAAACGCCAAACCAGCCGGAGCCCCGCACGAAGTTGGACAACTATGGGAGTCAGAAGTAAACTCATAAACACTCACATGCGCACTCGCACACTGTTTCTGCAAAGCCTTTTTCTGACAATCAAGTCTCTGCACCAGCAGTGACACAACGACTTCGCATAAAGCAGCCTGCAAGCCCAGCCTGGCTTTCGTGGATATCCGGAGTGCATACGTCTGTTATCCCGCGGCTCTCTCCTTGCACACACAAGGACAAGCATAGCACCAAAAGCGGAAATGCAATGTCACCCAGGTTTCGGGCTCTCATGCAAGGCGTCAGCTTATCCTGCAACGCCTCCATTTCAAAAACGCACCTGTAATTACCTTCGCTGCTTGATCGGCCCGCATACCTAGGCACACGGGTAGATAGTACATGCATTGGGCGTCTGCACAAACAGGGGCTCAGGACTCGATACGCAGCGCCATGTGGTTGTGGTTGCGCTGGCGGCTTGCCCTGGACCATGTCTGCTGCTACTACAATCAAATTCCCATGTTGACTACGGAGCATGGAGGATCCTGTATTGACGAAGTGAGATGTTCAAGCAGGCTCCTCATTGCGGCCAGCCGGGCCGCAGTCGAACCCACTCTTTTTCGACATCGTCGATAGTGTCCCGACTCCCCGGCTTGCTCAAGGTTTTCGTTGGCAGCCGGATCTTCCTCTCTGCCTCCCCGGCCCTGGCATGTTCCCCCGGGCTACTTTGTTCGGCCCGCCCAACCAACAAGCGCCATGATTCAGCCAGCGGCTATCTGGTCAGATCGGCAAATTTAATTGTGTTTCTGCAAATTTGGCATCAAGAAACAGAAATGCGAATACACTGAGATCGGAGCATCCTGTGAGTTGGGTTATCCCTCTATTACGGCACGGTTCGGCGTTCCACCTCAATGATGCCTCTCCCTGAATGCTCGCCAATGCGGCAACTATAATCCCAGCGACGTGAGCATTGGTTTTCGCTGCCCATGTCGCTCGAGGGGAATTGCGGCATGACCCTTCTGCTCCACACCACATTGTGCACTATGGCCAAGGCACGTCACTGTTGGAGTAGAGGCCGTTTTAACACCGACAAAGGCGGCCACGTCGTATACCCGACCGCTGAGATAATTTGGACGCGGAGTCAAAGTTCCTTCAAAGAATCCAATCCATCCTCTGGATAATGTTCTTTACGGCGGCTTTCACAGCCTGTCATGTGAAGGTGACATTTGATGTCGTCAAACACGATGACGGTGTCGTTATGCCATAGCTTTTCTGCCATATACCCAACCGGCGTGAATATTGAAACTTCTTACGCGACTCAGCCTGAAGCAGTGAACCTCATAACTCCCACCTAGCTATTCTGAGCTGATGGTAAGGTGTTTTTCTGTTTGTATGTGTCGTAGCAGAGACACACATCTGGTGAGACGGCGTTGTCTCCAGGTCGTACAAGGCCGTCCGCCGAGTATACTTGTCTCTGGCCACTCAAACTCCACGACGGACCATCATGTGCCGACACAAAATGCGACACGGAATCATGCATTATGCGGCAGGTCATGGTGTTCAGAATACTCCTGTAGGACTAGAAATCAGAAGATGGCCTGCCCTCTGCAACCGCCGAACTGGATAGCTCCAGGCCGCCATCTTGAGGCGCTTCCTGAGAACACTCCGAGTGCTACATATGCTGACGACCTAACTTCACAAGTTTGTGCGTCATATTTCTGTGTACATGCGGACGCGCCTTCGGTTCTTGATGTGACGCCTCAGTGGATGGCGATGCCAAACTTGCTGTCGCTCAGTGGCACGAACGCCAGAGTCTTCTCTCCGAGACTGGGTCGATATGTCCGCTAACTCTCTGCAAAGCCAACATTCTTGGCCGAACTATTTTGGGCGAGTGGGAGCTGAAACTTGCGATGCTCATGCGGCCCAGCGGGCCATCACCAAGTTTGTCTGATAAATATCTATAATATAAGACGGTCGCAGGTCGACGAGGTCAAGACCTGGTCTCGGAGAGTTTGTTACCTACTTCCCTAAGTGGAAAGCTATGGGTGACTGCGATTCGAGGCGCTCGCGCAATCATGCTATCGAAGACCGTTGAGCCGTTAAGTGAGTCACTTTGAGAGTCGACAAAGCCATAATTAGAGAAGACTGACATTTTATAACTCTCCTTCACTTGCATCCACGAGAAGTTCATGTGGACACTCAAGAACACCACACTCCTTCCGATATTTCCCAGGCACTTCCAAAAATACAAAACATCTTTGCCATTTGGGGTTACAAGACAAACCAAGTGCAACATTACTGCCGAGCATCACTGATATGTTACGTCCAAGTAGGGGTCAACCAACGGTTTTCAATCACGTCTCGTCCGTTCAAACCTTTCGCGCCAGGTTGCATTCAACATTTGCGACTACGGCACCAAACATGTCGCATGTCCGCGGTGCTCACGAAGCAGTTCTGTTTTGCCACAGGAAAATACACATACCAAACACAAGCCAAGTATTAGTTAGGCAAGGGCTTAGTCTCACCAGAACATGCTGCATGAGTGAGACGGGACATGCCCGTCGGGGTCCAATAACTGCATGCCACAGGTGCTCCAAGTACATTTACTCCCTATTGGAGAGAATACCGACTTACCATCACCGCAGCAAAACATGCTGACTTTCGTCTCGCACATTACTTTCGGGGCCGCAGAAGAGGGTAGACACACAGCGGCTACCATCAACAAACCTGCTACATGTGTGACCAACCTTGGAAGGCTGCATAATGTTTGCCCATGCGTCTCCCTCACGCCTATAGACGCATATTGATTTGTCTTGCAGGTAAAACGAGGCACACTGTTCTAGCAGCTAAGACACCAACATTTTGAGTAACCTTCTGTATGGGATTGCCGCACTGATGACCGAGATACTTGTCCTGATAAAGTACTATAATATAACTATCCAAATTGACATGGCTATAGTTAGGCTGGTCGGACATGCTGCTACAAGACTGGTACGCACTCGCGCCGCCTTCTCAGCTAGCTACACACTTGACGGCGTGTGGCAACCAACATGTATATTTCGCCGTCGCCAAATATCCGCCAGTATAGAAGAGTAGAGAATAGATAGCGTATGCTGCGTGGTATGGCTACATTACATTGCCCGAGTGGACACTCTTTCGCTTCCATCGTAATTGGATCGAGCACGTAATTTATCCAAGACCCCTCACCCCTTGTTACGCGTGCACATCGGTCATTCTTGAATCCGGGGTAGGGAGAATAAGGATGATGTATATTTACGGAACCGATGGTTACAATGTCGGGTAGAACATTTTGGAGCGACTGATGCATCAAAGTCACATGTGGTATATTCTGTAAACCTTCCACATCTAAGATCAGACTCGGAACAATTCACGAAAATACAAATAGCACATTATAGTACGAAGCCCTGTGTAAAATAGCCGGGTTAATTCATTCACCAAAGACTACGACTACTGTACATTCCGAGATTCCTCAACTCCAAGCTTGACCTCCCGACCACCAAACCAAAGACTAATTTTTTGCAAAGTTGAACGACTTGCCGACCCCTTTCATCTCGCAATGCACCCAATTATGAACAAATAGTCATAGAACTCGGCTATAGGACGAAGCAGCAGCACAACACAAAGTCCATGACCGAGTTGGACACTTTAGCACCGTTTTTTTTCTGCGAAATCCAATGTAATGGGAATGCACATGATAGTGGAAAGAGTAAGTGATTAAAAGCAGGCCAGGGGGATTATCCAAGTCTCACAAGCACTCATCAGCTTCTGCCATGCTAATACAGTGTGCCTTGGATTCATAAACAACATTTGCAAGCACCCTGGCTGATCGCGCGGGGTATAAGTCATCAGACGATGGTAGAATGCAAACTTGGGGGGGGAAAGTTGTTCTCTCATGCTCATGGACATCTTGCCTCCGTGTGGTGGGACTTTATCCATACACCGTGGTTGATTCTTGTCAAGATTTATGTCAGAGCCCGTCGGGTAAAGGGGGGGACCGCTCAGCACAGGTAATCGGATCCATAAGACTGGCTTGAGGCCTGGCTCCGAAGTCACGTTTCGTCAAATGCCATATCGAGATAGCACCAGTTGACGGATACAGGGCTCATCGTATGCCCTATCATGAATTTCCTGTCAAGCTCTGCTCCATTTCATAGTGATACATCAGTAATATATCAGTTCAGTCGCTCGGCCAGTACAAATGCATCTTGGCAGGAGTGGCCACTTGCACAAATAAGGTCTAGGGGCTGAAAGCAGACGTGTCACCATGGCTTGTTCGATCCGTTTGATTTCCCGTAAACTGTCTTCCGCAGCAATGGTGGAGAGAGACGGCAAGGAGGCATGATGAAACAAAGTGAGACACGACTATTAGTTGAGGTTGATTTCCCCCACCATTCCATGATAGGATGTTGGATGTACTTGTGAACGGAAGGGGCACAGCCAAGGGCAACGTTAAGAAATCATATGTTCATCAAATGCAGAAACGAGTTCGCCGCCAGGGGAAGGGTATCCTGGGTAGTGTGTAAGGGAGGGTTGTAAGTGGCAACGTCAGATCAAAACAGGCTGTACATGCGTTCAAGCCATTAGAGTTCATGTAGCGTCAAGCGCGCGTCCAGTTATTAGGTTGATGTCATCAGGTCAAGGCATCTCAGAAAGTCTTCAGTGTGCGGTTCTGGCCACAGCCCAAGCTCGATCAAGTTCACCAAGTCTAGACGCGCAAAGAGTCGGCATAATAGAATGGAAGGGTATCATCACTTAAGAGCCAGGAGCAGGGGCACCGGCTGGGGACCCGTCGCCATTCTGCTGTTGCTGTTGGTACATCAGGGACTGGTACCACAGGGCAACATAATTCTGGTATCCACCATCTGTAATGACCATGTTAGGTCTCGTCTAGAATACGTCGAAGGGGGGGCTGTTACTTACATTGGGCGTACGGGTCCGACGCGTCTTGGGAAGAAGCTGGTGGCGGGTTAGTAGAAGATGTATCAGGGCCTTGTGAATATGAAGGCCGGTCGAGATCTTGGTGGCCACGGCCACGTGGGGGACCACCGCTTCCACTCTTCTGTCTCTACAAATAAAGATTAGCCCAATGCTGTCAAGAATGAAACTACAAAAGTGAGGCTCTAGAGGTGGTTCACATACCACAGCATCAACCTTCTCATCAATGGCCAGTTTGGCACGGGCGATGCTATCTCGAGTGCCAATAAGGGCAATTTCTCTCTGAGTCTCACCCGGACCAGAGGACTGGGCGACGTTGATCTTGCAACCAGTTGTATTTTGCATGTCACGGATAGTCTCACCCCCTTTTCCTATAATCATGCCAACAGCATCAGAGGGAACATAGACAGAATCGTTGATCTTGTCCGGCCCAGCACTACCAGTAGCATCCCTAGGCGGGGGCTCGGAGCGAGGGACAACTGCAGCACTGGCCTTCTTCGCGGCTGGACCATCACCTCTGGTGTCGCTGTCGACGATTTCCAAGATGAAGTCTTTGGCACGAGCTGCAGCCTCCACTGTGCCGATGAGATTCACCGGGCGCAATCCATTGACGCTCTTTGACTCTCCCACAATGTTGATGTGGCAGCCAGACCTTTCTTGAAGATCGCGAATGGTCTCGCCTCCACGACCAATGATTAAACCTACGGTCCGATCAGGGACCATAATTTGCATGTGGTCCTCACCATCTCGCAGTGCGGTAGCGCCGCCCTTGTTGGGATCACGATTCTTATCCTGGGCGGGTCGGTTCAAGGCACCCATGCCACTGTCCTCGATGATTCGGTTGATGGCATCCTTGACTTCAGCACGACGCGGTCGCGGACCCGAGATTCTGCACTGACGGAAAGGGCCGCCATCAGTTGCAGCAAGGAACTGCACACGGCAATTGGTATCTGCCTCAATGCGACGCAAGTTTTCACCCTGGCGGCCAATGATCAAGCCGACAAGGCTAGATTCAATTTGAATTGTCTCCGAATTGTCATCTCCTCCGCGCAGTGGCGACCTGTCTCGTCCCCCACCCCCACCTCCACCTCCGCGAGGCGAGAAGCGACTTCTCGAGGGGGGCGAATAGGAGCGATCTCGCCCATAATCACGGCCAGCTCCACCCCGACGGTCCTCTCTGTACTCGCCACGAGGGGATCGGGACCGCGAACGTCGATAGTTACGGTCGTTGGTACGAGAATCCGTGCCGTAGACGAGTGGTCGATCATAAGACGTGGCGCCATTGTCGGCAGCGTATGCTCGTGCCTTGGAGACGATGGCATCAAAGTTCATAGTGCCCGAGGTAACTGGACGGATGGCACTAAGATCAACGTTGCCACTAGATGCTGGGGCTGGGAGTCCATGACCAGATGCACCATAGGCAGGGGCAGCTGTTGGGGGGGGAGCTTGATAGTGAGGAGGCTGAGCGGATGAGGATGGAGGAGGATACGACTGTCCTGGTGGACCAGGCGGTGTTTGCGATGAAGCACCAGGAGGCGGGCGCTGGGCGGCTGCCGCGGACGTTAGAAGGGCATACATAACGCGTGTCCAGGGTGCTTTGCGAAATCTCACCTAATGCTGCGAGTATGCTCTGGATATCGGGATGCGACTCAGCCATGGCGAATGAGCTCGTGAGACGCTGTAGAGACGTGGGAATAAGAAGACGGTATGAGAGACGGTGTTGAAGGTGGGAGAGAAGGAGCGACCCCCAGAGAAGGGAGAAGGGAGGAGGGTTGTCTTCGCCAAGGCGTTGACGGCCAAAGGAAACACCGTGGAAAATAACCGCGGCCGTGTAGGTTTCGCTTTGTGATTAAAATACAGGGACTGTCACAAGCGGTCGTGGGGCCCCGATGGGACAGCTGTCGCGATGGTCTCGAGGTTGGCAGTGGCTCAAATGTTGGTAAATGGAGGGGAATGTCTGGGAGCGAAGCCTCATGACCTTGGTCTCTTTCAGCGCGATGCATGTTGGCTAAATTTTCGCCTGTTGCTACGGCCGGAAGAACTAGTGGCCGCCAGCGCAAAGCCGCGCGCGACAAGCACAGACTGTCAGAAGAAGCTGCCAGGTGCAGCTGCCAGGTACGAAGTTCGAGTCCCGTGACGACAGCGCCCAAGTGATCAACGTGCCAAAGTGGCTGCATCGATCCGCCCGTCTCTTTCCTCCTATGCTTACGTGGATATGGCAAAAGCGTCTGGTCGACATGGTAAATTTAGATGACGTGTGGCTGTTTGGCGGCGTCATGCACAACCCATCGCATGTGTCAACTGAGGGGATGAAATCGACTGGTCCGACTAACTAACTACTTGAGTACCCAGATATATAGGTGGTTGATGAATAGCGGTAGTCTGTCTTCGCGTATCGATCCGGTTGATGGTGGGTGTCAAGTTACTTGGTGTGCTTGGTACCGAGAAGCCAGATGCGCCAGTCACCGTCACACGGCCTTGGTGAGAAGCAGAAGGAAGGGGATCCAACTGTCATGCAGAGTTCGGCATAAGAAAAACAGCTTATACGTTTCCTCTATTCCGTATGTAGTCATGATCAAACCTTTGGGGTATCAGAAGCTCTATGCCAGGCACGCCGGCTATGGTATGACTCGCATGAATCGGAGGAGGAGACCCTGACAGCAAGACAATGTGCCCACCACCACAACCACCACAACCACGACCAGCACACCATCCTATCGATACCGCGTGGCGTGTTCCTTGGTCTCGGTTCGTCTCGGTGGCGTGCGACGTGAACAGGAAGCCCCCGGGACAGGATGTACCAGACATGACGCGGCCCAGCCAATAGATGGTGCAAAAAGGCTCTCGCAACCCCATGTCACGACTTCACGACGGGAATAATTCGAGGTGACCAGAGCAAACGGAAAACCCACAGACCCAATCCAGAAATAGGTGTCTCAGCAAAGTTCATTCAAGAAGCTTTGTGCTGCCCGCCAGGCACAAACGCCGAGTTATCCGGATCATGTTCGTCGTGTCCTACTGGCGGACTTCTCGTTATATCCCGTGCCGCCGACGTGGGCATATTTAAACCTGGGGTTTGCGTGACTACACGACCAAACTCGGCGTTGTCAGCTTCATATAATAGCTACTTCAGCACCTTCAGCACCAGCTCCGCATCTCGACCTTTGGTCCTTGAATCCCTTGATCGCTTTCCGTTCTCCACTGACACACACAGTCGCAAAACGACGCCATCAGACCCCGGATTATACGCCAATGTGTAGTCGAGTCCTTGTGGAGTATCGGTGCAAGCACCAAGTATATCGGGGAAGCACAAAATGTTTTCGGGACCAATGCCCGGGGAGGAAAGACGAGATAACCTACGACTCAGACGACTGTCCACAATGTGAAGGCCAAAAAGGCATTCGATCAGCTAGATGGTGCCCGATGGGCTGCTGCTGCCGGTGCACCGTCATGTGAGAGGTATCGGGAACCGACACATATCTACGACTATCCGAAAGTCTAAGTCGTAGTATGCGAGTGTGACAGAGTAACACGAGTTGCCCGTGTGTCTGCAGTCTGCAATGACAACTTCAACAACGAGAGACGACGTTTTACGCCATGACCACAGCCCAACAGCGTGGGTGAGCGATATTTTGAAGCTATTTGGCTAATTTGTATTTCCATTCACATTCATTTCACTTGACATGGGGTCTTTTCAAAAAGGTTCGGACCAAAATTGGGCGTGGATTTCTGGATTTGGCGAAGCGCTTGGGAGAGAATAATGCAGTATTTCACACCTTGACCCTGCCCTGGACTCTGGCTTGCCATGGAGTGCACAGACAGAGTAACTACTTGGTAGTTGGAACAGAGATATAGTTTGCTTCCTGTTAGATCCGGTGGCGGCCATGGCCTGACTGAGTGACCAAAGCACCTTTAACCTTGGACTGCATCGTGCTCACCGACACGTGTCATGCCTCCGAATATTCTAGAACAGAAGTGCCTAGCCGGCTGGATGTAAATGGCTCTCTTGACTGGGTTTTCGAGTCAGCCATGGGTGGATGGACAAGCCGAAGAGAAGGTCAACGTCAGAAGAAGAAGGACTCCTGAGGGTCAATAAGAAGGCCAATGCAGATGCAAATGCAAAACAAGACGCGTCTGGTGGTTTTAGGATGGCGTCTGGTGCAAAGTCATGTTTAGTCAAGGCCCATCCGATGCGCTGAAGAGAGACGGAACATTGAAGAGCGATGGGAGACTCGGGAAGAACCTGGTCGAGTCGATGCGTTAATGTTTTGTTCTAGTCGAAAAGTGTCAAGGTTGCTAAACTCTGCAACGAGTTGGAAAGACCAGACCACGCTGTTGTAGATTTTGAACATGGAACCCTGCCAGGCCCCCAAGACGGCACCTGGGACGTCAACTGGTTGGTCCCTGGCACTGGGGCTCAAGCTAGCACCAGACTTCAATGTTGTTTCCAGCTGGCTGCTTTAGGCCAAAGCTAGCGCTCATCTGGTCAACTGGTTGAACCGTCTGGTGGGAGCCGCAGCCCGCATGGCTATGGCGGCATGATCATAGTTGACGTCAGGGACCAAGCAAGAGCAGTCAACTGGTAAGAGCCGTCAATGCTGTGCTCCTCGAGACTTGCTGAATGACTGACTGGTCCAGTTCCCCCCTCCTTCACCCCGCTCAAAGCTGCCAGGGACCCCGGATTGCCAGACTGGCAGGCTGCCAGCTTCCCCGATTCCCCATACCGAGTACGACAGAACTCGTCGGCCATCTGATCTGCTGGCGGCTCCATCTCTCTACATTTGCAACGACATCATACCGCGCTTTTTTTGCTCATGCACTTCTTGCTGGCGGTTGCTGGCAGTATACGCATGCGCCATGGCCAAGAAGGCCCGCCAGAGGATCAGCTATGGTACGTGCTTGAGTCTGAAGTATCAGTTGCCGCTCGACCATCCAAAATAAATCCCAATGGCTTTTGTTGAGTCATGAGAGGCTTGCCCCGCACGCGAGCTTCTCCCACGTTGTCCAAGACATCTGTGCTGCCCGCAAATAGATGTTTTGCTCAATTCAAACGCTGACCGCAATTTCTTGTCCCATTGACAGTTCTTGAAAATGCCAAATCGTCCGAGGGTGGCCATCGTTTGGGCGTAAATGGCCTTGCTGTCGATACGAACAATGGCATCCTGTAAGCTCTCGTGCCTGACCGCATACTCAACTCAACTGTTGGTCGTTCCACTGACCGGAAGCAAAAAATATAACTTGATGTAGCTACTCTGGTGGACGAGATGGCATCGTCTGCGCCTGGGACCTCGACCTCGACCTGAGACGACGCTCTGCCGACACCCATGATCCAACAGACAAGACTCAATCTCAAAGCAAATTCCGCGCCCAAGCACAGCCTCACACACATTGGATAAACGACATTACCCTGGCACAGAACAACACTGCCCTGGTCTCAGCATCATCAGATCTTACTGTCAAGGTATGGCGACCACACTCGGAAGAGGACTGCACGCGCACAGTCGCAATCGGAGAGCACGCCGATTATGTGAAATGTGTCGCCACTCCTCCCGCCAGCATCAATGCCAACTGGGTTGCTTCGGGTGGTTTGGATCGCAAAATTTGCCTCTGGGATCTCAACGGAGCCGGAAAGACGCTCGAGGTTGACGTCAAGGGTGAGGAGATACTCGAAAAGGGATCTGTGTACGCTCTCGCAGTGAGTCGTGACCTTATGGCCAGCGGAGGACCCGAGAAGACGATTCGACTCTACGATCCTCGAACCGGCGACAAGGTCTCCAAATTGGTTGGCCACTTGGACAACATTAGATCCATTCTGATTGACGACTCTGGTGACATCATCCTGAGTGCCAGCGCCGACAAGACAATCAAGATGTGGAGTGTCAAGGGTGGTCGCTGCATGTACACTTTTACAATGCACGACGAAAGCATTTGGTCCCTGTTCTCCGAGGACCCAAGTTTGGGCATATTTTACAGCAGTGATCGGTCTGGTCTTGTAGCCAAGACTGATGTTCGAGGCACCATGGAAGATTTGGATAACGGGCTGAGTTTGGCGGTTGCGCAGGAGCACTGTGGCGTTTCCAAGGTTGTCGCTGCCGGCGGTCACATTTGGACGGCTACAAACCGGTCTTCAGTCAATCGTTGGGGAGATGTAGATACCGACACAGACGCCTGCTTACCGGAGCGATTCCGTCATCAGAGGAATGCCTCGGCCGCGTCCAACAAGCTTCGACAAGCTTCAGTAACTAACGCTCAGGCGACAAGCAACAAGGAAATTCCACCCGAGTCTATTCTCCGTATTTCCAACACTGCTATATTCCCTGCTCGCGGCGTCGTCGGTGCTGAGCCCAATAACTTGAGTGAGACGCTGACTAGGCGTGGATCCGAAGTAGTGGTAGAACAGCCAGATCCGGAAGTAAAGCCAATCCATCAAACACCAGAAGAGACCATCGAAGGCCAGTTTGGGCTTTTGAAACACAAGATGCTCAATGATAGGAGAAGGGTGTTGACATTGGATACTGCCGGTGATGTCCTTCTTTGGGATCTCCTTGCTGTAAGTCCTATATCGTCACGCTGAGGGCGAGATCCACCATGTTTCCTAACAGTTTTGCTTGCAGTGCAAACCGGTCCAGAGCTTCGGCAAACAGCATCTGGAAGATGTCGAAGCCTTGGTCAACACTCGTGAAGCCGTGGCGCCATGGTGCTCAGTGGACTTGAGCTCTGGCAATCTTACAGTTGTGCTGGAACCTTTCAACTGTTTCGATGCCGAGATATACGCCGACGAGTTGAAGTTAGATGAGCCTATAGAGTTCAAGGAAGATCAGAGAAGTATGAATAGCCAATACTAGCAGTTCGGGTTTCCCGGTTTCCCTTCTTGAGCTAACGTGCTCTGCAGTCAGCCTTGGAAGGTGGATCTTGAGATATCTCTTCTCGAATCTGATTGACGAAGAAATCAAACGTGACGAAAGATACCTGCAGAAATTAAACGAAGAGGTCTCCAGGAACCAAGCCGCCGGTCGAGCCAATGCACCTACGGCGATTGATATTCCTCCGTCGAATGTCTCGAACTGGGACAAGCCCGATCAACTTGCCACACCTCGAGCCAGTGGCTCACAACTACACCAGGGCACTCCTGGCTTGGGAATTGGTCTCGCGACTCCTGCGCCTGGAGCCGCACTTCCTGGCGTTCCTGAAGAGGTGGTGGCTAGCCCTTTAAGCCCTACTGAAAGGGGAACTGCCGCAGACAAAGACGATTATTTCGCTGGCGGCAGCGCTGTTGCGCCTGGTGCCCCAGCGACAGAGTCATTGGAAATGAAGACTTCAATGGATAACGGCAATGAGAAGGGCAAGGACAAGGCGAGTGACACAGCCAAGTCACCCGGCAGCACCTTTGGAAAGAAGTTCCGAATGTCCTTTAGCAGCAAGAAATTAGGGCGATCATCTTCCCAGGCGACGCAGGATAAGCCCGTGGTAGTTGACGAAAAGGCCGAGGAGTCAGAATCATCTTCCACAAATGAAAAGGAAGTGGACGACAGCTTTTTTGGCGTTATACAGAAGATCCGCAACGATTACGATAAGCAGCTTGCCGACACTCCGGACAAACATATCGAAACTAGAGTAACGCCCAGTCTTCCAAGTGAGACCCCTGTGCTAAAGCTCCCGCCTGGAACCAAGATCATCATTCAAGAGGAGACGTCTGGTGGTAGCGCCAATGTCTATCAAGGGACGGTCGAGAACGTTGGCAAGGACGCTGACATTATTGAACAGAAAGCCCCAATGTGGCTTGGCGACGTGTTACTGCAAAATCTTGTCCCATTCAAGGAGCCTGTCAAAATTTCATTTGTTCTTCATCCCATGGGGGACTTGGTCGCTCTGTCCCCGGCAGATGGAAATAACAGATTAAACGCCAACAGAATGTTGCGTGTCAAGAAGATCTTGGCTTATGTTGCCGAAAGGATTGAGGAAGTGCCAGAGGAACCAGAGCCTAATGCTGTGCCTCCTGAAAAATATTTGGAATTGTATTGTAATGATCAGGTGTGTCCTTTTGTCCTACTCACAGTAACATGGGTGTGGTTTCAACTAACTACTCCTGCTCGCAGCTCCTTGACCCGTTGATGAGCCTTGCAACGATCCGTACCCATGTGTGGAAGAGCGGTAACGACGTCGTCTTGTACTACAAGGCCAACGGACGCAAGGAGATTATACCCCCCAAGCCTGCATCATCAATGATCCCTGCAGATACGCCCGGAGTCCCAGGCCCCGTGGGTGCGCCAACAGCAGCATCTGAATCAACGACTTCTACAACGACAGCAGTAACATAAAGAAACGGCCGTCGAGGTTGAGATATTTTTGGTTGTCGGGTGAAAGCAATTAGCGATAACGTGAACGACCGGCACAGACACCCCCCTTTTGCTTTGATTTGCCCTCCTTCTAAAGTTTGATTAATCACGCACTTGGAGCACAAGACACATCATTTCCAGCCACATTTCCGGGTTTATGTGGAAGCGGCAATGGCAATACCCTCAGCGCTATACCGTGTTTTTTCTGGCCGCTCTGTTCACAATTTATGTTGGGCTTTTATCATACAAAGCGTGGCCCAGCTGCAGGGCTATAGAGCGAGTAGTGCAGCTTAGACTAGCCAGCAACAAAGAATATAGTAGTCTATATATCTAGATGCTTTCCATCTTTTCCACTTGCCACATATCGTACAGCTTAAACCCTCCCCCTCCCCCTTTCTGCATATTTGTGTGGAAACAGTCCCTCTTGTCCCTGTTGACTGTTGAACAAACCAGCCAGCCCAAGGAAGAGAGTAGTAGTAGGCGTGTGTGCACATTGCCGTGTCATGAAAAGGTTCTCATAGTATTGATAGCCCACTGGTAGCTTCCCAAGAAAATGGCACCCCCAACAGAAATCCAAGTCACTCTGGGCGCAATGCCGGCAAAGAACGGCCGAAGACCTTCTTGCTTGACCATGGTCCCAAACACCTCTGCCACGGACACCCCGTCCTTGGACAGCATGACCCTCGTCTTCAACACGTCCAGGGGCGTCGTGGCCGCGGCCGAAATACCGCCGGCCACACTGCCAAAGACGGCGCTCTCGGCAGCGGCCACGTCCTCACCGGCCTTCCTCCCCTTCCTCCGCCACGACTTCATAGCCTCCCACAGCGGGAACTGTATGACGGTAAACGGCACCTCCCTGAAGACGGTGATGCCCCAGCCCCGGTACAGCTCCCTCCACACGGCGCCGAAGCCACGCGCCGAGCGCTGCGACAGGATGGCCCGCAGCGCCGCCCTCGACGAGCCGCCGTGCAGCCCTGCCTGCGCCCGCTGCTTGACCACCTCGGTCGGCACGCGGACCGCACACGCGGCCACCTCGCCCAGGCTCGCGGCAACCATGGGCGCAACGGCGTCGGGCACCGCCCCGTGCGTCCTCAGAAACCCCTTGGACGTCTCGTACGTGCAGAAGAAGAAGGCTGCGCCGGGCGCGGACCCCACCACCGCCGACCCTATCCCGCGGTATATTCCTGAGAAGCCGCCCGAGGGGAAGAAGCCGGCCGACGACTGGAGTCGGGTTTTCAGCGTGTCGAGCGGGAAGAGCGAGAGGTCGACTGTCGTCCCGGCGAGGGCGCCTGCCAACAGGGCGGATTGGAATGGTGGCGGATTGGACATTTTTTTTTTTTTCTTCTCTAGGAGTTTTGGAATCGTCGGGTAAAGTCGGTAGTGTAATGAGGAGGATTGGAGAACAGGCCGAAGCCTGAGTTCTCTCCTTTTTTTTTTTTTTTTATTAAGAAGGCGAGGTGGTTTATCGAGGATACCTTTTTGAGCGCGAGGCCAATTGAGCCGAAAATGAACGGCCCTTATCGATAGCGGTTTGCGCGTGGCTCCGAGCTTCGGAGCCGAGAGGCAGGCACCCTGGACCGTAAGTAGCCGTCTATATAACTCTATATACACCGAGCACTTTACAATGAAGAGTACTGCGTAATTTCTTTACTTCTCAGTCCGTTTAATTCATTTTATTCAGATGAGAGAGTGGTGAAATCCACACGCGACTTCCAACTTTCAATTTCCGCCAACGCATGGGCCTGCAGACCGGGACAGCATACGGCAAGTTGTAGATACATACACACACAGCTCAAGAGAAACCTCGAGCAATTTTTCACACCCAAGGTGCCCCCGAACCGCGACATTCCCGCCTACATGCCATCGCGCATGCTGGTCCCCGACCTGGACAACTCCTCGGCAGACCTCTTGGTCCGCTCCTGCAGCTTGGAAATGTCCTCGCGGCCCGGCGACGCCCGATCAGCCTTGACGGCCTCCTCGCTGTCGGACGCGAGCTCGGGCTTCCAGTGGCCAGCGCCCTTCTTCTGCTTGGCCAGCGAGTCTCGCTTGTGCCTGTCAAAGTCGGCGTCTGTCTCTACACGGGAGGGGGGCACGACACATGGTTAGCGACGAAATTTCTACATCGGCGGAGCAAGGACGTACGGCTGGACGACTCCTTCAAACCAAGCCGAGTGCTCGTCGTCATGCTGAACCCCCGCCCGACGACACACATATTCCTGGCGGCGGCCCTCATGGCACCGAGGCCAGCGGCGCTTCGTGCTGACATCATAGTTGAAGGGACTTCGAGTGGCTCGGGTCGTCCTTTACTGTCGCCTGCTTCAAAACGCGTTTCAGTGTAAGCCCTGGGCCCGGTACGGTACGGACGAGAAAATGGGAAAAGAGAAGGGTGTCTCGAGCAAGATCAAGAGGGTGTTTAAGGGATTGGAAACAATCTGCGCCCATTGGGAGAATGTCCAACTGCTAAATACCGAGCTTTCCCTACGTCTTCGATGGGGGTGGCTCGACCTAACAACTTGTGGAGAGGCACTGAACAGACAGACTCTGACGTCACCATTGCGATGCATCTCAGTCCTGACGCCAGCCATCATTATCGAGATGGACGGCCTAGTTTACGTGTCTTGCCTACCCATAATATCGAGTGGCCCAACATGAACCTCTCCGACGGCACCTCGCCGGTTGTGGACATGCATTTGCTCAACCAACCCTATACTGACTGGGGAATTGGGATTGGAACTCGAATTTCGTCTGCCACGCCGTCAAGTCAAGCATCCGATACTCACTTCACACAGCAGCACACAAGACACACATAAATGACTTTCTTGAACGTATCGTATATTCTCATCGCAGCAGGCCATGCAGGCCGCGGTATCGCAACCTCAGTAATAGTAATATAAAACCACCGTATCCAGGAAAACATGCTCGCAACAACCAGCCCCGAGTATCAGATCCCAGCAAACTTGCAACACCAGGGCACGGCGGCCCAAGAAATCCCAAAGAATCCGACCCGCAAAACCAGGTAATGTCGTAGCTGAGCCACCCCTAAAAACAACACCCATATGCTTTGCAAAGTAACAACCATGACCCATCCCAGTTAACACAATTAGCTCCGATATGCCAAAATGGAGCCGCTTCTTCTTTCAAAAAACACGCCCGTCTTGTAAGCCCAACGTGTCGTACAATAAAACAGAAAAACAGGCAAGCCTCTTTCGTCATTCAATTGCACATTCGGCATCTTTCCAACAAGCCCTGCAAGGCTGTCAAGTGAACCGAGAAAAAAGGAACCAACTCCCCATAAGTAAATCCAGAAGAGCCCTAACCCCATATGAACAATGGCAATGCGCGCAAAAGAACACACCAGACCGCTAAATCTTTGCCAACCACTACTCGCCGAGACCGATACCCATATTTGATTTTCAACCGAGAACACAATTCATTTGCCCCAACGCTTTCATTGTACAGAAAGCCCTTTTCTATCTGTTCTTTTGATAAGTTTTCCCTTGTTGATGAATTCATAACCCATGACTGTAAAAGTAGGGCAATAAAACATTTTAGGTAGAATAGAAGAGTTCGCCATCGCACACGCTCCAATTATAAAAAGATGAAAATATGCCGGAAAAAGTCGTGAGTTTTTTTTATAAAAAAAAAAGTTGTCAACTCCACTGTCGGTCCCCATGCAGCAGAATTCCAAATGATGTATTTGACAATGCAGTAACGCCCAATTGGTGTGGATTGGCCTCATCTTGCGAGGCGGACACCTAGAAAGTGTATGAATTGAACGGGAAGACGAAAGGGCAAAAAATGGTATCGCTTTGTAAAACCGAGCCGAATTCGAGTCCCTCGCGGATATCTGTCGATGAAAAGGTGGTGATTTATGTCGATTAATTAAGCACTTGAACATATTGTATAGAGGTGTAAAGCTGCGAGAGACCCAGCAGTCGAGCCAGGCCAAAGTTAATACATCCATCTCCGAGGAACCTACCCCGCCAGGAAGAAAATCGATACCGTCCGCCTTCGACAATTTGTTTTTGTAGAGGTGACTGCCAAGATGAACAGTCGACCAAGAGAAGAAAGAACATGAATTGGAGCGTCGTCTTAGAATACAGTGCATGGAGAACGGCAGTAGGGTTATGGGTCCGGCAACGCATCCATCGAGGACACATGACGCGAACCCCAACATCATTCTACCACCGTCGGCCAAGGGACTGCTGCATCGTGGCGGGCGATACTGACGGGGACGGGCTGGACATTGTAATACCAGTAGCTGGGTTGATGATGGGGATGGCGTTGCGGCCGCGAGTGGCTGAGGGCTGGTGTAGTTTAAGGTTCGAATGCTGAGTCTGATAGCTAGGAGGGATGAAGGCGGCAGATGTCGAGTTCAGGGAAAAGCCAGGCGCAACGGTTTGCGGCTGTTGCGTTGGTGAAGATTCGGGAGAATTGCTGGCAAGTGACGATCGCTCAGAAGCACTCGAAATGGAGACCAGCTGTGAAGAGATTGAACAGTCAGACTCTGCAAGCATGCCAAAGACCTTGAAGGGGAATGCCGCTTGCGTTCGGGGAATACGAAGGCCAAGCTACTACTTCTTTCTCTACTTACATCAGTCTCGGTCAGGAGGTTGGGGCAAAACTCGAGGTCATCCTCAAGCTCGAAGGAGCGGCCAGCTTCGAACTTCATGCGAAAGGCAGAGAGGGCAGCAGACTCGTTCAGATCCTTCATACTGCGCGCGCCTCGGAATTGCCTCTGGGCGTTCTGTGAAACGGACAAGCGAGGGGCTCTGCGATTGCGGTGGCCGCCGTGGTTGTGCGACATGGGCGCGCCGTGAACCGCCTGCGTATTGTAGTGGTAGTATGAAGCCATGATAGATATCTTTTGTTTTGTTGCTGTGTATGACAAATGGCGAATCGTCGCTGTCTATGAGAGTAAACGTCTCCAACCCCAAAATGTATTGCGTTGTGATTGGGGGTGCTGCGGCTCCAGTAGTATGCACGTTGGTTTGTTGTGGGTGTGGGAAGCTGACAGCGATTGTCGGGGATTTAATATCGAGTAGCTACAGACGGACCGCACGAGGCTATCAAGTCGTACGAGGAAAGTCTTGAAGAGGTCTAGGAAAGATAGCGACGTGAAGAATGTTTAGAACAAAGAAGAAAGGGGAGAGTAGGAAAGACGTAGAGAGGGAGTTGAGATGAAAGGTTCGAGTTTGTGTGTGCGTGCGTTGTAGGTGTGTGTGGGTGATGATGAGGAAGAGAGAGGGAATGGGAAGCGGGCAGATGGCAAGGCGAGGAACAGACCAGACAGGTCAGGACAAGACTGCACCCGGACGCAGGCTACTGGGGAGCGGTCGAAGGCGGGTGGGCGGTGGGCAGGTGCGGACGCAGGCGCTGGTGGAAGTTGCAGGTCGGAACCGGGCCCAGCGGGATTTTGTTGGTTGGGGACCAGAAAATGTGGAGAGATATGGGGCCCAATGAGCCTGTGTTGGTGAGGGCGGCGAATAGGACCACGAGGGAGGTTGGTGGGTGCCGGCCCCACAGAATTTTGCCACTACAACAGCTAGTTCGTAATGATTGGGCAGACTGGCAGGTCCGCTAGACTCGATACGGCATGGAGCAAGCGCCAGTGCTTGCCAGTGCTCGCCAGCGCTGTCGTTTACGGGCGGGGGTCGTCCGTTGGACCCGCTAAACATACAGTGTCTGACAAGCTTGTCGCACTCGGAGCCCACAGAACCCTTGCCCGCGCCGGTTCTTGTGTGGCCTAGTTTGGTCGAGGCAGAGGCTCAGAGGCGACGCTGGCGATCCATTGACGCCTGCGCTCCCACTTCCCACGCTCCGCCGCTCCATCGTGCTGCACTGGGCTGCCCAGGCTGCATGCCTTCAGGGTTCTTCAAGCCGCCGGGCACTCGGGCACTGGTCTAGGTACTCCGTAGCTTCAGGGACTCGCAATGCAGAGCCGATCAATTGATCCCGAAGCGGCCTGCTCCCACCCTCCCTCCCTCCTGAACCCGTCTGCCTCCTTGCCTCTCGTCCGACCGCGCCGCAGCCGCTTTTGTCGCGGGCTTTTTTCTCGCTGTTGGAACGGGGTACTTCAGCTGCGCCAGATACTTGGGCCAGGGGGCGGGAGGCAGCTCAAGGCGCACCCCGATGTTAGCTCTGCACTGCCCAGCGCCCGTGATGTCGGCAAGTAAACCTCAATTGCTGCCGCCGGCTGTCCCTTGTCCAAGACGGCGAGGTGGTGAGCTAGTACTTGACCTCGGCCGTTTTGAGCTAGGCAACTTTTGTACAGATAAACCACAACAAGGCCTCCTCTCCGTCCTTCACCGTGCCGCCACAGTGTCATCAGTTGAGCCGCTCAATGTTCTATTCTTGTTGCCCAACATTCAACCTTCAATCCTCATTCCAGTCCATTTCCGAGCGACAATAAGCATGCTTGCCTGCTGCCCGGTCATGGCCCATGGCTTCCCATGTGCCTGCGCCAGTCAAGGGACCCGCCGTGCAGCTCAACTGTGAGTCTTGCAGCTCAAGCTCGTTTCCACTCGAGTAATTTCACGGATTCTCACTCACGCTCTCCCTATCAAGGAGCGGTTCGAGCTCCACCATGTGCCATGACTGGCATTGGCAATAGCCCTCCGTATGGGGTGTTGGGGCACCACGAGACTGGCTAAAATGTTTCGTGACGATGGTTGTCTGATGCTGCGAGTGTAACAATAACAAAAGGGAATCAGATTCCCCCGAGGCACGCGAGCAAGACGTCCGGTACGGAGTATGTACGTTGTTGAACTTGGCAGTCATTCCCGTCTTATTTTATTAATAATATTTGGGTGGGTTAATTGTAGTAGATTCCAGCAGCTGTTGGTCAGCCTATGCTGAGCGAGCAGAAGGGTCTGGTGCGGCTCATTTTCAATCAAGTAAAGCATCGTTGTCTTTATTGTCCACGCATGCTCCAGGTCACGCAGCCGGACGCGGCACCATCATGCCAGGCACCACACTCACTCACACAGACACACACACCGCATCAGCGGGCCGCTCCAGTGCAGCTTAGCCTCTGGTGGCATCACCAGAAGTGAAGCACTATCAACTCGGCTGCGCAGCCTACTAGGTGCGTAGTAGCACTTGAGTACATTCTAAGCCTAGCGTCTGGTGGTACCAGAACTGGCTCAATGCAGGCAACTCAGGCACGCAAACAGGCAGCGCGACAGGCAAGACAGGGTCTGGTTCAATGGCCGCCGCCAGGCCCCCTTTCCCGCTTTTCCCTTTCCATTTTGGCGCTGAAGTGGTCTG